AATATATAAAAAAAAAATCCCCTTAAAAAAAAAAAAAAAAAATAAAATATTTTTTTTTTTTAAAATAAATAAAAAAAATTTTGGGGGGGGGGGGGGGGGCGCGGTGTGCCTGCAAAGCACTATGCTAGGTATTATGAAGATAAGAAAACACAACCCTTCCTCAAAGGAGCATATCATCTAGTGGGGCTGGGGAATGGCGGTGGAAATGAGAGGAGGGGACTGCAGGGGAGGTGGGCACAGGTTGTGGATAAACGGGTGGTGTCTGAGACTACACCAAAGAATACAGAACTTGAAGGCTACAGGCTCAGGAAAGGCCTACAGGTGTAGGGAATGGAAGGAACAAAGGCACTGAGTGACGGTATGCCTTGTGCGTGCACACAGCAAACTCCAAGTGGCCAGGCGCAGAGTACATTTAGGAAAGTGGTGGGAATCCAATTAAAGAGCTATAGAGTCAGAGACTTTTCAAGTTAAAAGGCACCTTAGAAATGATCTAATTTGATCTCATTTTACCCATGAGAAAATGAGGTTTACTATGTGCCCATCAATGGATATATATATGTGTACGCACACACAATGGAATAGTATTTGGCCCTAAAAAAGGAAATACTGTCATCTGTGATAATACGTTTGAGCCTGGAGGACATGATGCTGAATGAAATAAGCCAGGCACAGAAAGACAAATACCACATGATCTCATATGCATGCGAAGTCTAAAAACGTTGAACAAGCAGAGAATAGAATAATAGTTACCAGGGGCTGGGTGAGGGGTTGGGAGATGCTGGTGAAAGGATACAAAATTTCCTTTCAACAAGAGGAATAAGTTGAAGTAGCAAAGGCTACTTCATAATAGGGTAGAGTGAGAATTCCAGTGCACATTGGTATAACACATGCAGTATAATTAGGAGTAGGGTAATTTCATACTGAGATTAAGTTTAGGATATGAAAATCCATTTTCTGTTCTCAAATTGTTCTTATTGGTGTGAAATGCCATGGCCACTTCCATGTTCCCAAATTATGATAAGCCAAATACAAACACAGCAACCAAAAGGTGTTCTAACCTGCAGTGAGTCAGTCGTATGGCTGGTAGGCAGTCCACTCTTGCCGTAGCCTTGGCCGTGGGCGGTGAGAAGGCGTCCGCACAGGTCAACTGCTGCCCTCCAGTTTTTGCAGTTCTGTAAGACATAATGGAATACATAAACAGAGCACACAGTCACTCAAATACTGATGCTTGCTCAGCTGGGAGCAGATCCATCTAGCCATCAGTAATCATGACAAGGTCAGTCAGTGGCTAGTGCACAGCAGAATGCCATTTTTCAACATTGCACATGCAATTAGACAATGAGAGGGCCAAGCGTGACATACAGTGCAAGATGATCAAGTCATAAGAAGATTAAAATTTAACAACTGATAGAACAGAGGAAGGAGACTTCTTATTGGAAAGCTACTCCCGCCCCCTGATCTATAAGCTTTTCCTTTTTAGCAAGATAACTCCATCTTTTGATTTCTGTCAATTTAAAATCAATAATTTTATGCTATGTGTTGAATATATTTATTTATACCTATAAGATCTGCATGTCACGATAAAATAAATGGCATTCTATGTTCAACATAGTTCAATGCTATCAATATGAAAAAAGTCAATGAACTACCCTAACGCCATGTTACAGGCCAGTATCCCAGCAAATAGCATGTGCTGAGTAACTTTCATGTCATTTCACTTTGTAATGTCAACTACAGCAAGGCCGACTGATACTGACAAACTGGCTCATTAGTTTGGACTCTCCTGTGTTTATCTTTGCCATTATGCAATACAGAAAAGAGGGCTATTAAGTGTATGAATGGGAAAATGTTGAAACCTTTAAAGAAGCTAAAAGTGGCTGTGCAATATGTATTTTCTCAATGTAATAGCACTAGCTTTGGTCACTGCAGATGTGCCCATTTATGCAGTCAATCGACACACAGCCTGGCAGAGACTGCAGGCCTCAGGGGCAGAGTGGCAAATGCACGCTGCATCCTCACCTCCATCTGTGTAGAACCCAGCAAGGGAGACAGACATTATCAACATGCTTTTCAAGGATTACCTGAATGATTATGTGTGCCAGTGTTTCTTGGACAAGAAGTCTAGGGTGCCAGGCGAGTGTGTAACTGGGTGGCCTAACTTAATCTTAGTAGGGTGGTGGGAAGGGGAGGGGACAGGAGGGAGAGAATGAGGGACTGAGGGAGGGAAGGGGAAGAAAGAGAGGGAAGGAAAGGATACTGAAGTGGAAACCTTAAGGATGACTAGCAAAAAGCGGGTCAAGAAAGGGGGAAGGATGCTCCAGGCAGAGGGAACTGTCTCAAAGGACAGTGTGTGCCTGAGCAGCAGGTGAGTCCCTGTGGCGGGGTATCACGGGGGAGGGAGAACATGCAGAGGGAATGAACACACAGGCAGGGCTTCAGGCCGTGGGAGAGATCCAAGGCTCATCCTGAGGGTAGTGGGAAGCCACCGAAGGGTTTTTGGCAAGGGAGGGACATGATCCTATGTAAAGACATGTATTAGGGTACACCATGCACCTCTTCTGTGCACTGACATGTGCACACTCCTGCTCAGCACCTTCTGCGTGACAGGTGAGGACACAGAGAGCATGGGCTTGTCAATGGGGTGCTCGTGAGTGGACAGTGAGTCTCAGCTTTTCAATACAGTGGTCCTGGAGTCCTTTCCTTGGGGTTCCTCGGGGCAGGGCCAGTATATGTGCTCTGCCTTCTGGAGAGACAGCGCAGCAGAGGGTGTCATACTGCCATCAGGATGCGTGCGTCACAGGTTTCTGAGAGGCTCGGGGTCAGCTCAAGGTGACAGAGCTGAGGTGATCGGTCCCACTCACTGATATAAGGATTATCAATAAGATGGCATACAGAAGCACCCGGCACAGCGCCAAGACTGAAACAGACATTGAAAATGTGAACAGTGCCATTGAAGAGTTCCCAAAGTGTCCCTACATGCATCCCTCCTGTTCCTTCCTACAGCGTGAGTTCACGGTTTCTTTTCATAGTTTTGTCAGCAAAACCAGCACCCCTCCTTGTGGAAGAACTTTTTTCTGTTCTATCTGCCCTCTGAGTGAGTGTCTGGGCACGTGTATGGTTAGAGAAGCTGGCCAAGTAAGGAAGGAAGGTGGTGTGGGGCTGGGAACTTCAGGACAGCCTGGGCTCTGCCACTGATTAGCTGCAGGTCTGACGCGCTGACATGTCTCTCGGGTCCCTGCAGGACTTTCCATGGATCCACAGCTCATTTCTTCTTAGTGCTGAATGACAACTGTTTCATGGATGTTCCAGTTTGTTTATCTGCTCACCTACTGAAGGATACCTTCACTGCCTCTAGTTTTTGGCAACTAGGAATAAAGCTGTTATTGACAACTGTGTGCAGGATTTTGTGTGGATATAAGTATGTGACTTAATTGGGTGAAACACCTGGGAGCATAATGGAATAACTTGATTGCTCAGCTGTGTCAGCCTTCACAGGCTTCCAAGAGCACTGGCCACAGGGCAACATGCGGTCACCATATTTTGATGGAGAAGACTTGAACTCAGAGACAGAGTTGTTAGTGGCCTTCTTGAGAGCTGGGTCCGTGGAGAGAGGACTGGAGCTCAGTGAGGAATGGAACCTGTGGAAGGGAGGAGAGGCAGCAGAGAGCTGGGAGCTCTAGGCTGCTCTAGGGAAATCTGAGCGCTCCAAGCCATCAAAGGCAGGGGAGGAACGAGGCAGTGGCCAGACAAGGTAAGACGCAGTGACTGCGGTGAACCAAATACGTGAACACTTAAAAAAGCATGCGAGGAGCATCCAGTTGTAGAAAGACTGAGCTCATATTAGAAAGAAAGGAGAGTCAATGACACAGGTTTCCAGAAGGCAGGAGGGAGTGCAGCTGAGGGCAGTCTGGGGAGGGACAACCTGAGTGTGCATCTCAGCAGGTGGACCCATGGGACTGGGGACGTGAGTGGCTCCTATTTGTGGCCTCTGTGTTTGCTCCAGAGCTGAGGGGAAGGTCATGCATCTTTAAGAGTGAGCAGGAAGGGCATGGGTGTGAGCTTAGAAAGAAGTAGACAGTCTAAAAAGGTAACTGGAGAAGACAGAAAATTAACAGGACAGCCCTGCCATGCTGGAGATCCACGGGAAGTGACAGGAGTCAGTTTGCAGACATCTGGGTGTGGAAAGTTCTCCACCAAGCCCTGCTGGCCAGGTGATGGTGCGGAGAGAGCTGCAAGCAGCATCACCTGAGATGTGTGCAATGACAGAACGAGAGACCCAGCATGTCTGCAATTTTGTTAAGAGCATTTTTGAGATGTGGACCACGGAAACTGTGTTCGGTAAAGAAGGAAGGGAAGAAACAAGGTGCTAATGCTCAGGGAGAAAGCAGACGAATGGGCCAGAACATCCACTAGGGTGGGAGGATGTGAGCGCTGGCTGGCGGGAGAAGGTGCTAGGATAAGAGCAGCACGTGAGAGTTTGTGATTTTGTTGGTGGAACCATGTGGGTGATGGCAAGGCTGTAAGTGTGACCGCAGGAGAAGGGGCCTAAGTCCTGGCCAAAGAGATGGGAGCTAGAGATGAGAAGCTTTAGGGACTGAAGGGCCCTGGTCCTGTCCAGGCCAGCTATGTGGATCCCAGAGTCACTGGGCGAGGACAAAGGTGTCAGGTGAGGCAGACTATCAGGTGTTACTCGTGACCTGCTATGAGCCATGGGACCCAGACAAGTTACTGCACCATACCCTGGTTTCCTTATCATAAAATGGGGACGTGAATAGTGGTCACTGTTCTCGTGAGGAGGAACCACTAACGCATGTCAAATACTTACCACCTCCATGGAAAATGGCGAGTTTTGGGGCCTCCTCACTACGGCACTGTAATGACCTACTCATGGACATGTCTTACTAGACTGTAAGCTCCTCAAGCGCAGGAGTTGTTACCTTTTTTTTGGTCATAATAACACTATAAAGAAAGTATTACGATGAGTTTTTGGAAACGAGGCAGCTGATATGTAATGCTGCTTTGAGAAACAAGTAACCCCGAGGAAGGACAACAAAGATGGTGATGAGCAGACGCTGGAGGAGACTGACTGCTCTCACCCACTGCTCAGCAAACAGTCACTGCACGCTTGCCGGGGGCAGGCTGTGCTGGGCTGGGGACAAGGCCCATCGATGACCAGGTGCCGGCACAGAGCGGGCTTGGCAGGCCTCCAGGATCTAGTTACAAAGTCCAGGCATTAGTTCCAGGCAAGAGGGGTCAACTAGATGCTTCAAAATAGAAAAATAAATTTTGAAATAAAATTTTGAAAAATGGCAGATGGATCAGTTGGGTTTTCCAAAATTACAGAAGACGGTGGAACATTCAAATCCAAGTGTCTAGAATATGTGCAGGTGGAGACTGCAGCTCAGGAGAGAAGACACACCAAAGAAGTGGGGCGTAGAACACACGCAGGGAAGAGGTGACCCAGGTAGAGAGAGGTAGGCCCTGCCAAGGAGAGAGAGCAGCAACTGTGGGCATGTAGTCCTGCTGTGGCATCGAGGGATGCCAGACTGGGAGCAGACACAGTAAAAAGGCCGGGGAAGCACGCTTGGAAAGTGCATGTGGGCTGTGCAATGTTTCTATGCTTGGATTTCAAGAACAGGATTGCTGCCTGCAGGAGATGCAGGACAGCTCCCAGAACACCTCTGGATGACAAGATCGCTGCCTGCAGGAAATGCAGACTGGCTTCCAGAACACCTCTGGATGACAGGATTGCTGCCTGCAGGAAACATAGCACAGCTGCCAGAGCACCCCTGGGTGTTAGTGTACTGATAACTTTTGAGGAGAGGAATAAAGAATCTATCTGTGGGAGCTCTGATGAGAGTAGACTGTGAGGCAGAGGCGTCAGTCAGTCAGGGAGTCAGCACCTTCAGCAAGCTCGGCTGCTAGAGCTGGCTTAGCTGTCTCTTGATACTGTGAACAGAAGCACTCAGTCATTCACTTGCTCAATGAACGTTTCCTTCGCACCTAAGCAGAAGTACGCCCTATGCCAGGCAACAGGGGCATAGAGATGGATCTGGTATGAGGGACAACCATACGGAGTGGAGGACTATAAAACAGTGAAGATACACACACACACACACACACACACACACACACAAATACACACGTGTGTTCATACACACGTGCGTTTACAAAATTACAGACATTCAACTGGGGAAGGAGCACCCGAGACTGGTGGCATTGGGTGGTGCATCCTGCAAGGTGGACAGGAGGGGCACAAGTGGACGGGAGGGGACAGCATCCCAGGTAGAGGGTGTGGCAGGCAGGAGTCCCCACGAGGACACTATGGGAACCTGACACTGTGGAATGTGTGGAGAGTGGCTGATAAACTAGCAGAGTGTGCACAGGTGGCTGCAGACCTGTGGTTACTGGGACACCGAGGGGGAGGCTGGCAGGGTTGAGGCTGGGTTGGAGGCAGAGGCCAGACTCCTGGGTTGGGCAGGAGGGGGCAACAGGATCCCGATGGCAGTGGGGGAGAGAATTCCAAGGACTGAAGCTCAGAGTGGGGTGACTGCTGCCAGGATCATACTGGTGTGTCTATTTGGATTACAAGATGAAGTGAGATTTCTTCTAAGAGAACATGTGCCTGATTGGAGTGACTGCTTTATAATGAATACTGGCTGCCAAGTGGGTCACATTTCCCAGAACTCAATGAGCTTAATCTATAGTCCTATGTGTTGGTGGAATTATAATTAAAATACATTTGCTACATACTATATGTTAGAAATTAATTATCCTTTGCAGCAATTTAAATTTATGATAAAACATTTTAGATAACTTAAAATGTGAGGGGGGTACCTGGTTTTCGGGTATTATGTGAACACAAAAGGCCACTGAGCTAGATTAGTGAAATGGGCACAAAGAAACAAGGGCTCAGTGTAGCACAGGTGTGGAGGGACATGACAGAAGAGACAAACTTCTTAAATATTAAATATATAGTAGGTAAAATTTCCAGGTTCTGGCGAGGGCAATTGGGGCTATCATTAGACACTACAGGGATTACAGCAGAAAAGGAGG